AACATTTCAAGGAACATTCAGATTTTCTGACTGATCCACTCCAAGCACTGCTCTATAAAGAAATACTACAGTTGAGTACAGCTGAATAAATTGAGGTTTCTTTTCTTTCTCAGGCATTCTCAGCGCAAGTTCCAGCATCCTGGTCCAAGGCACACAACCTTCCTTGATACAGCAGTAACTCATTCCACAGTAACTGCCATTATTTTAAGGTTCACTTAGATGCATTTCTACAAGCTGTGCCTTGGCAGTCCTTCGTTTTATTCACACATAAATAGAAATGTTTAATTACCTGTGTCCCCTCTGTTACTCTGATCAAACATAACTTTTTATGAAATAGCCTTGAAGCCACACAGGATGCTGCTCTGTGATGAAATAATAAGAACAAGGTACGACAGCAGTGCTTATCCTCATGATCCTCATCACTTGTCCACAATCCCCTGGATTTAATCCTGTCTAGAAAGCTTCACATTCATTCCCCAAGCACAGAGATGTCACTGAGAGATGCTCATGGAAGCACTGCAGACACTTAGCACACGGGAACTCGCTGCTACTTAATATACCTGTACCGAAAGGTTTTATTTATTCTGTGTTGCAACAGCTACAGTCACACAATTTCTAACTGACAACGTGTGAACACTCACCGACCTGCAAAGGCCACAAATACTCTTTAATCAAGATTATCAAACCACAGAAGGGCTGCAGTAGCAGTGCCATGCCAAAGCAGACGAGATCTAATCGAAGTACCAGATAACCAGGCTCTTCTGTACAACCCTCCCAGGAATCTCCCTCGTGAGCACTGAAAGTTCCTGCAGCCCCAAATCCATGGAATAAAGTTTCTAGGTCTCTCCTGCCCTGGACAACCACGTCAGTGTAACAGACCCAGATGGTTAATATAGTTCAGCACTCTCAATTCACTGACATTTCTGTTAGGGCAGCCCTACCCAAACCCAAGCATTATATAAAAGGGTTCAGTATGATTAAGCCCATTACAATACAACCACAAGATGATTAAAATAACCTTCTACAGGTGCCAGATATCTGCCATCATGTTTGGATAAAATCAGGAATATCTTACTCCTTGCTGAGCTTCTAATGCTGCCTCCTCAGAATATGTCAAAACTGATAACCATGGCAGACACTAACACTTGATATCTTTATTTTCCCAGGAGCATCTAAACCTACGAACTGCAGTTCTGGTTGTCTCCCTCTCCTGAACTGCCCTTCGCATCCGTTCATCCCCCACAGTACTCCTCACCTCCCCCAACATGTCGACACAGGGGAGTTTTAAAAGGAAATCAGAATAAAGTACACTGCACAGAAGGGAGATTTATTTTAGCATGGGCACATTAAGAAGGAACACTGAGAAAACTACTTGAATGCAAGAATGAAAAGTTATCTCAGCTTTTATCCAAGTTGAGGTATTTACTTCGTCAGATTTCAAGTCAAGTAATTTTTTCAAAATGCAGATAGTTAAGGTACCACAGTGCCTGTGCAGAACAAAAATTGCAGAAACTCAGTCGTTTCATGTTGATCTGTGAGTGCCCAAAAACATTACTGCAAAAAGTGGTCTATTTAGGAATATACAGCAAAATGCAACCCAGCTCTTTCCAAACTCTCCATGCAGGTATTACTCCTACTTCCTATAAGGAAGTAATATTTGGTGAGCACAGAGGGGAGTACTAATCTAGTAAAGGGCAAAATACAGCACCTTCCTGACCCTTCACCTACACTTCTCCCACCACTGTATATATCTAGAATATATTTTCTGAAGTGTTTTTTCCCCCCCTCTCTTTTTGTTCAACAGGATCAACACTGTGCTTACTGTATTAACAACAAAACAACCCAGGCCCCAAATTCTGACAGAAAACAACCTGGTAAGAAATTCAGGCCATCAGAAAAATCTACTGGGGGAGGAGGGCGGGGAAAGATGAATTGTAGACTGAGCATCATATAATCAACATTGCATGAAAATAATGCTCAGTTGCCATCCCCATGGAACTTAAAAAACCCAAAGTAGCAAATACTAAAAATACTATAAAAGGAGGCCAAACTACATCCTAAGCAACCTGAAGTCTCTCACAATCCTAGAAGTCTTCTCTTTATAAAGCAAAGAACATATAGGACCACTTATTTCAACCACAAAAACTTGCACTCTATGGCAGTACATAATTTCAGATTCACTGCCCAAGTCTGTAAGACTGTTCCTGTCTGATTTTAAACCTGCCTTCTATAATGACCTTCATGTGATTCAGCACTCTCCAGTTTCCCAGTTGTCTCACACAGCTCACAAATATCATCCCTCCTTCATACCCTTCCCTTCCTTTATCATCACAAAGTCCAACAACTTAATATTGATGACATCCAACCCCTGTGAGAACTAAAAAAAAAAAAAAAAAAAAAAAAAAAAAAAAAAAAAAAAAAAAAAAAAA